CCCCCCGCCCACCCCGCCACGGGGCCCCCCCCTTCCCTGGCCCCCCCCCCCCGGGCTAACGTGCCCCCTCTCCGGCCATGGCTCCAGAACCCCCAGCAGCGGGATTCGCCCCGTGGCCCCCAGTGACGCCGGTGCCCTGCAGGTATCACGGCACTGTGGTCGCTGGCTATCATTTCCTGGGAGCGCTGGTTCGTGGTGTGCAAGCCCTTTGGCAACATCAAGTTTGATGGGAAGCTGGCCATGGGTGGCATCATCTTCTCCTGGCTGTGGTCCGCTGCCTGGACGGCACCCCCCATCTTCGGCTGGAGCAGGTGGGCGCGAGGCCGCAGCCGAGCTGGGGGAGAGGATGGGGCGGAGTTGGGGGATGGGTGTGAGAGAGAGGAAGGGGCCTGAGGGTGCCCTGCTCATAAGAAGCATGTGGGAGGGAGCTTTTCAGGGGACAAGGCAACATGCCGTGTTTATAGAAAGTCCAACATGAAATTCACACGCGCGCTCCTCTGAGGCTCAGCTTGCAGGACCGGCCCCAGAGTCCAGCGGCAAGCGCCCCGTGGTACCTGTCAGTCCCTGTGGGGGCGCAGGGCCACGCTGCAAGCACCCATCCGAAGGAGGGGCTAATGGCCGGGCTGTCCAGTTCCCCTTTGGTGGCTGCTGTCAGGCCTCCATCTCCTCTCTGGTTTGTCTCACGCTGGGAGCGCCGGTCTCTGGGCTTCTGCCAATGCTGCTCATTGAATTCGGCCTCGGGCACCATGGATGTTCTCCAAGGCGCTCCAGTCCTTTGGAGCATCTGGGCCTCCCTCGCCCCAAGCAATTCTGCAGAGACTCCAACCAGAGGGTCCCTTTGGTGGCTGCTGTCAGGCCTCCATCTCCTCTCTGGTTTGTCTCACGCTGGGAGCGCCGGTCTCTGGGCTTCTGCCAATGCTGCTCATTGAATTCGGCCTCGGGCACCATGGATGTTCTCCAAGGCGCTCCAGTCCTTTGGAGCATCTGGGCCTCCCTCGCCCCAAGCAATTCTGCAGAGACTCCAACCAGAGGGTTCGCCTGCTGCCACTGGCAGGCGCACGAAACGCCTTAC